TAGACGATTCCTTCCCAACCTTTATCGAACGATTCTTTCCCAGCCTAGATTAGACCATTCTTTTCCAACCTCCATCAGATAATTCTTTCCCAACCTTTATTCAGTGCTTCTTTCCCAACCACAACCCTCTCAATTCCAAGCTCAACACCCACCCTAACTCCCCTTAAACCCACTCCCCCCAAACCCAATCCCCTCCAAACCAACCCGCGCGGCCCCAAAAACTTCCATCCCTATAGAAACAACATTCAGGCTTGAGCTTTAGCCCCTGTGGAGAAACCCCCTGTGGACCTGAAGGATGAGGCAAAGCTCCTCCTCACCCCATAAACTCCCAAAATTCTGCTGTGCTGGCAGGAGCAGCCCCGACCCAGCGCGTTTATTCCTCGGAGCAGCGTCCCCGTCACTGTGATGGCAATGTGAGAGCGCAGGTAGCCTTTGTTACGTGTGTCTGTTCTTTTTAACAAAAACCAAACGGGCAAAAAAAAAGCTCCAAAAAAACCCTGAAAAACAACCCCTAACCCTCTTAGAATATAACTTTGTAGTGTTCCTGTTCTTTGTATTTTCTGTTGCATCCTGGTTTCTACGGCGCAGTGTAGGCATGGATTGCATGTCAGGTTTTCTACGCGAGCACCACGACATTCTGACTGTGTATTATAGAGCTCATTTTTACCTTTTTAAACAGGACAAAAAAAAAACTTCAAAAAAAAAACCAAACAAAAAAAAAAACAAACAACCAAACTTAATCATTGTGTGGAATTTCTATACTGCAAAGCCAAACACTACATGATGTCCTCTCCTCATTTGTGTTATTTATTTTGGTATCTGGTTGGGGGTGGGAGGGAGGGGAGGGAGGGGGGAGCCGTCGGTGTTGCGTTGCCTTATGTGGGCTTGACCAATTTTATCAAATAAAGGCCTAAAGGGGTAAAAAAAAAAAAAAAAAAAAAAATTCTGCTGGTTGTTTTCTTCAGGGAGTGAAGCTGTGGAGGAAAAATATCCAGGGGGGAGTGGGAAAAGGAGAGAATCTGTTTGTAAGGGTGGAAAATGGGATGGGTAAGCTGGAGGAGGGAGGTGGCACCACAGGACACAGCCAGGGGATGTGTCTGAGGGGAAAACACAGCCTGAGTCACCAACTCATCCCAAGGTAATCCCAAGGATCCAACTCCATCCCTGCACAGGACACCCCAACACACCCATTTGGGGTGGAAGGGATCACCCAGTCCAAGCTCCTCCTCAGGGAGCAGCTGACACAGAGATGGGACAGTCCATGCCCTCCCTGAGCTCAGAATTCCCAGCTCAGCCCAAGGCTCTCCCTGCAGCCCTGGAGGATTTTTCTCTTACACATCTGTATGGGGAAATGTTTCAGGAGAGGGGAAAAAGGAAAAAAAAAAGCAACGCACACACACCTGACCAAGGAGAAATCTAGTATTTATTATCCAACATTCCAAGTATTTATTTCCCAACATTCCAGAACAAAGATCCTCTCCTTAAAGTGCTTTTTTTGACTCGTGTTGGATGAGCAACTCGTACCATGGCTGCTCCCGTGGCCCTTTCAGACTGTGCTGGGTTTGCTTGGCAGTAGGTCATGAAAAGGAAGAACAACACTCACACTCGAGAGCCTTGGAGTTAGGAAAAAGATTCCTGGGAATCATCCACGCTAAACTGACTCCAACAATTCCAGCTGCTGCAGGAGCTTCCAGCAGATCTTTTTTTTTTTTTGCCATGTGGTGCAGAGAACCGATGTGTTCGCAGCAGCTTCTGCTCACACTCTGTGTCCACCTCTGCCCTTCCCAGAGGAGGTTTGCAGCGTTGGGAGGCAGATGCTGGGGAGGAGGAGGAGCTGGAGGAGGCACGTGGAGCTGGGAGGATGCAGTGGGATGTGCTGACAGGTCCTGGAACACAATTCCAGAGCGGGAGAGTGGGAAGCAGGTGTGGCTGCACAGGCATCGCTGTCCTCGGGG